ATCGTACTTGTTTAATTTGGCTAATCTATTATTTTTTATAAGCTGCACCTTACAAATCAGATCCTGTCTACACAACAAATTATATTTCAGGGTGTCATGTATCGCTCGAGAATTTGTCGTTTTGGGATCGTTTCAAATGTGTTGCAATTCTGCATCCGATATTGAAGTTAATTCGGTATGAATCAATGTTTTACTTAAATTCGTACCGTTCTGCACATGGGATCGAATGGATTTGGAGTCCTATGGAACGAACTAAAGACTCCCTTTATCTTGCTAATTCTTTCTTTGGATTTGAGGTGAATTCGAGAAAGAACATCCTTATATCTGATTATTGATTATTGATTTGGTTTGATCTAACTTTTAATATTAAAAAAAATAGATTCCGGAAAAATTATCTCCACTTGTTCAGGTAATATTAATCTTAAGCTCAGCTGATAAAGAAAAATTTTTTTTAAAAATTATTATATTATTAATTTTTCTAGGATATTGGACCAATTTATTATGAATATTATGATCCATTAACCAAGGAATTAAAGGAATTTCTAGACTCACATCCGAGAACGCTATACATTGCATTCGGTGGCCGCCTCTGGATAACTCTAGAGAACTATGAAAAAATTATTCAAACTATCCTCGAAGCAATGAACACAGACCTTCTTGATGGTATAATTTGGTCAATTTCTGTATCACGTTTGGAGGGCATTCCTGAAAACATTACACTCAACGACGGAACAGTTATCGCCACTGATCAGATAGTCGCCAACGAACATCCTCATATTCTTCTACAAAATTGGGCGCCGCAATTTGCAATTCTTAATCACTCGAACACAAAACTATTTCTTACACATGGCGGCATCCAAAGTATCCAAGAATCTCTCTACCATGCCGTTCCAATGCTCGTGCTGCCTCTATACTTTGATCAACGGGCAAACGCCGAGAAACTCATGCTGCAGGGATGTGCACTAGCAGTATCGAAATTTTCTTTATCTGCCAATGACATGCTTTCTAAAATGCATATACTAATGACAGACGACCAAATAAAATCGAATCTTTTAAGAATGCAGACTTTGGCGAGGATGAATGGGAATCGCAAATATCGTGCTGCCGATTTGATAGAATATGTGATGGATTATGCAAAATTGAATCCAAATTCTGGTAGTAGGATACCAACTGTCCAAGAATGGCTTACGCCGGATCGAAGAATGGGTTGGATTAGAGGAAACAATATTGATATTTTTGTTTTTGCTATTTTGGTTCTTTTGGTTGCTTTACTTGGAACTAGATGGCTTGCGATGAGAATCACAGAGTTTGTGTTGGAGTATAGAATAAAAACCGGTGTCATAAAGAAAAAAAATGG